AAGTTAAGGTTCTTAGTTTAGGATGAAGTTTAGGCTTTTGAGATTTGGGGTTCAAGCGCTCAGAGAACCGCCACCAGACTTTTCACAGGGCCACGGCTGTTTAGAGCTTAGGGTGCCGCACATCAGAAAGCACAGCCCCAAAATCCTAACCCCTGAACAGAAGACACGAACGCTGACTTGATCCCCTTCTGATAAACCTCAACGTTGCGCTCTGTAGAATGAGCAGTCCTATGTCTCCGATCTCCCTAAACCGCTCCTCCTCGACACAAGCTAGTAGGGTTTAGGGTTTTCGGGTTTTTGAAATTTAGGGTATAAAGCCCTGATCCCTCAACTTGTTCAGGAACGCTTTCAGCGTAAATCCGAGACCACCGGAAGCCCCGAGCGCCCGAGAGGACGGCTCCGTGATCTGGAAAGTCCCTGGCGTCAGCCCGGGTACCTTCACCTTGGGCGGTCTGGCGATTTTAGGGTTTAGGGTTTAGGGTTTGGGGTTTAGGGTTTAGGGTTTAGGGATGAAAGAGAGAGGGAGAGGGAGAGATGTTTGAAGGTTCTGGGTTTTTCGAGGTGTGTGTGTGTGTGCCTGAACCCCCAACACACGAAAACCCTAGAGCCCTATACTGCCCTCAGGGTTTAGGGTTTAGAGTTTATGGTTTAGGGTTTAGGGCACCGCCTTCTTTGCGCCCAGGTTCTTGAAACCTAGCTTGCGCAAGGTTTAGGCTTCAGGGCTTCGCGGTGATAGAGGTGTAGTTAGGACTGCCGGCTATTTAGGTATAGTTAAGGGCCTTTGCTTTTAGGTTTTGGGGTCTTGACCTCAGCCCTAAGACCTTATATAGGCCCAGTAGCTGAGTGGGCACACTTTACACGTTTTGGGATACTATAATCCCCTATAGAACTGAGAGTGTGCACTTTTTTGGGGCCTATGAGCTCAACAACTAAGTAGGGTGGGCTCGGTCAGTTGGTCCGCACACGCGTCGAATCCCGTCCAAACCCCATCATGCGGGCACGGTGTGTGCAAATGGGGGCTACGTGCTAGCTTGCTGCACAGCATATGAAACCTGTCCACACCCTATAACATGCGAGCATTGTGTTTGCAAATGGGGCTGCGCAGCACCGAAAACATGCTCTTATCTTGAGCCATGCTAGTTTCCTTCAAAACAGAAGAATCCTGTTCAACCCCATCATGCGAACAGAGTGTTTGGAAATGGGGGGGTGAGGAGATGGGGGTGGGGGGGCTGTTCCGAACCCCAATATGCGAGCATCCTCGCCAACATGGTACCATACCCCTTAACCCATAAGAGGCGAATATAAGGAAGGATTTTGCCATACCCCTCAATCTTGAATTAGGGTCTTAGAATTTGGGCTTGGTCTCCAGGGAGAAATCCCTACTGTACGTTCGAAAGCCCGGAAGTGCGAAAGCCATACGCCCTTGCACCAAGCTCACCTTAAACGAAACCTAGACTCGAATTTAACACGGTGCCTTCAGGGGTTTAGGGTTTAGGGTTTAGCGTTTAGGGTTTAGGAATTAGGATTCACCGCTGAAGTCTTGGGGTTGGCATCGGGCCAAGGCGTTCATCAGGGTTTAGGGGGTTTTGTCACATGGGAGCTTACGAGAATAAGGGGACCCCTAGTATAGAACCCCAAATAGTAAGATTCCCTTATACCAAGGACACCAACAAGGTACCTTAATTCACCCTAGACCCTAGACCCTAAACCCTAAACCCTGAACCCTACACCCTAAATCCTAAAACCCTAAACCCTAATTAAACCCCACATGCTACGTTTGCAAGAGCAGCTGTGATGGTCGGACAGCTGAGGTGGGGTGGCGTGTGGCGAGGGCATGGTATTCAATGGCTTCTCGAAGGACACTGAGCGGTACGCAGAATCGGGTTTAGGGTTTAGGGCTTAGGGTTTAGGGTTAACCCCCAAGCTCCAAGACCATCAAAGAGCTCCACACGCTTTTGGACAAGCAAACGAAACTCAAGCTTTCCAAGGTCCAAACGGACCCTCAGTGGTCACCCGATTGATTTCAAGAATTGACATTCGGATTTCCGTAACGTCGTTGTTGCTAAGTTTGCTGACTCTAGAAGTTGCACTATTCTTATTACTGTCATTTTTACTGTGGTCTCTATTGTGAGCGATATTGTAATTGCCAGGTGTGGGTGTGCGCGTGCGGGTGTGGGTGGGGCCCGGGTTCCTTGGGAAACCAACGGCAGCAACAACAACGAGCAATAACACTAGTTCTCATCAGAAAAGCAAACCTTGCGATCACATTAATGAGGTGGCTTCAAAGTGATCAAATATATACGACCAATACTTGTCATGATCATCAAAGAGAAGTGTCAAACTAATTAATAAAAAAGGAAGTAGTGAACATGGCAAAACAAACACACTAGCAACAAGAACAACAGCAAAACCAATCATTAGAAACAATAGCAGTAGCAACGGCAGTAGCAATGGCAATGGATTTTCAATTTTCCAGCACGCTAGCGCGGCACCCGTTTTCCTATCTTTTGCTTGAGGATTTTGGAGGTTCTCTTGCCTCGCCAAGGAAAATCAGGGTTCTTCAAGGGGCGCGTGAAGATTTCATCTCAGCAGGTTTAGGCCCCATGGATCTAGGACATGTTGTCCCCATGCGCCCCGATCGTGCTTCTATACCCCTTTTAGTACCTTGTAACCCCCCTTTTAATGATGCACCCTACCTGAGAACCCTGAAGCCTTCACAAGGTACGCTACCTCAGACGTCCCGCCCGTAAACCTGAAACCCTAAACACTGAACCACAGCTGCACCTAAACCCTAAACCCTAAACCCTAAACCCTAAACCCTGAACCCTGAACCCTGAACCTTTAAACCCTAAACCCTAAACCCTAAACCCTAAACCCTAAACCCTAACCCCTAACCCTAAACCCTAAAACCCTAAACCCTAAACCCTAGAAGGAGGATGGCTCTGGAGTGCTGCAGGCACTCAACCAATCCACTGGTGAACGCATTTGGATGAAGCTTGATTGCTGTTTGAGGGTTTAGGGTTTAGTAATTAGGGTCTAGGGTTTAGGGTTTATGGGGATGCCGTTTTGGGAGTTGGACTCTGCAGTTTTCTTGGGGCCGCGTTTCTAGGATGTGGGTTCACTAGTAAACCCCAAATAGAATCCAAATTTTAGCGCACGTGAGGAAAGACGTCCCCAAAGTTATCCACAACGCTCCGGCAGTGGGACGACTCTGGGGCATGACGCTTGATGTGGTTTTAGGGGCTTGCATCTTTTCGCTTATACGGCTGATTAATCATCACGTTTCCAGCCAACAAGTCGGAGACATCCCTAAACCCTAAACCCTGAAGCCTAAACCCTAAACCCTAAAAGCAACAAAGGGAGAAGGTCGGAGTGGTGGTTGGCATCTTGGCATATCTGAGAACGGCGTTTATCCGTTTGAAGGCAAGGATCGTTTTTGTCACGCTTCGAAGAGCAAACCTTTCCAGGCATAGGACAGCCGGCAACCTTTCCATCGGAGCCACTAAAGCCTGCCAACATCACCGGCACCGTGATTGCTGTTGATGCGACCACCAACGAGACTCTCTGGACGTTTGAGCCACCACCATGGCTCTACGCTTCTTCTGCGGGGTCCACTGTATCGCAGCCATGTCTACCGGATCTCTTCTCCGCTGCAACCATTGGTGGCGACGGCATGGCCCTCGGAGTAAAGTGCAACGAAGTATTCACGCGCATCACCCGGGCCTGGAAGTAGTAGCGTAGGCAGCTTTGCAAAGCCTCTGATTGAGCAATATCTAGCGCGCAGTGGGTTGATGTGCTGGATTGGCGGAGGTCTTTATATGATACGTATGTGTCTGTATATATATATATATGGTGATTTCTCTAAACTATGGGCCCCTTTTGGGGTCCTTGTTATAAGGCGGCCTCTCTTGTTTAGGGTACCCAAAAAGGGACCATCATTTTTAGAACTGACACTCTATATATATATATATATATATATATATATACATATGTGTATATATATATATGCATATATATATATAATTTGTATATATTTAATATGTATATATATATATATGACTTTCGTACGCCCATCAAGCGCACCGTCCGAAGCAAGACGCTTCCAAGGTACGGTGTACATCAACTGGTCTGCTGGCGGCATTACCTATGCCTTGCGTGATGCCAACTCCGACGGCATGATCTCAGCAGACGATCCTTCCGAAGTTTCAGCCTACGATCTTGGCTCCGCAGCGACGGGTCCCCCAGCCATAGCACCTGGGATGATCTTCGTCAACACGTGCCGACGTCCAAGCGCCTTCCTGGAGAGTATCTAGATTATGAACTATAAGTATGATGCTTTATTTTGCTTATGTTCTTGGTGTCTAAACTCTCGATTGCCTTTAGTACACTAGCTGTTTGTCTTCGCGATCATCTTCGTACCATTCGCGCTATCACCATCCTGTGACGAGTCTTTCTGCTTGACACCCTCAGTCATTGCGATTCTTTTAAATTCGTGCCCGACCGAGTGCCTACAATAGCGTGCCAATATGCTTGCGCAACACACGCGCCGTCTGTTGCTTGCAGGTACAAAAAACCGAGCGTCCTTCCGCTGATACTGCCTAAGGCTCGCCCGAATCTAAGCCCAAGCACCGAGTGTAGGGCCTAATACCCTAAGGACCCTGCCCCAAACCCTAACCCTAAAACCCTCATACCCTAATACCCGAATACCCTAAGGACCCTAAACCCCAGCAAACGGCTGGACTCACTCGAGACCCACGCGCCTCTTGGGTAAAGGCTCATGGGTAGTTATAAGCAGGGTTACAAGTCCCCCAAAGTCAGGTTATCACCAGCTTTAATGATAGTCACCCTACTTATAACCACACTTATGACTACCCATGAACCTCCTGTAGCCCTAAACCCTAAACCCTAAACCCTAAACCCTAAACCCTAAACCCTAAACCCTAAACCCTAAACCCTAAACCCTAATTAAACCCTAAACCCTAAACCCTAAACCCTCTTAGGTGTTGAGCCGGGGGCCTACTTCCGTGTTCAGAAGGCCTCGCCGCCGCAGCAGGCGTTGACACTGGGACCTGAAGCTGGTTGGGGTGGGTTTAGGGTTTAGGGTTTAGGGTTTCGGGTTTAGGGTTTAGGGCTTAGGGCTTAGGGTTTAGGGTTTAGGGTCCTGGCACCCTACTCCACCTGAATGTTTGCTTGGTAGTTGTTCTTTTTTTGGGTCAGGTTCCCTTATAAAGTAACCAACCCCCAAAAAAGAGTGCCCTATAGAGACCCCCAAATAGTAGGATCCCCCGACGTATCATAAGGACCCCGAGAAGGTACCCCGAATTTCGGAAACCCCCATATGGTTACTGGTCTACTAAGTTTGGGTTTAGGGTTAGGGTTAGGGTTTAGGGTTTAGGGTTTAGGGTTTAGGGTTTAGGGTTTAGGGTTCAGGTTTGCATTACCTATCTTTCGAGGGTGATTGCCTTTGGGCTCATAGGATGGGATGTTCCCTTTTCATACTATCAGTCCTTCATAAGGGGTTATAGTACCCCCAAGTATATTCCCTAATTAGTAAGGCCTGATAGTCTATAAAGGACTGTTAGTATAAGGGGGAACATGCCAACTCATAGGGTTTATGGCTTAGAGTCTTGGGCGTAATCTGGGACAACAAAAAGAAAGAGCACGCACGCTTAGCGCTTTAGACCACGCCTGAACATTTGACTCCTAAACCCGAAACCCTACGGCTCCCGAACGGCCTGAGCAAATGTTGCTCAGATGACCCCTACCCTGAACCCAAAACTCTAAGGCATCAATGCCCCAAACCATGACCAGCATCGTCACCCAAAACCCCAGAACATCTGAGCACCCAACCCCCAAAACCTTGAACTTAAACCATCTTAAAATCCCCAAAGCCCAAACCCCAAACCCTACACCTAGCCTCGTACAACTTTACTGCTTTGGAGTTCAGGTCGCCTGGAGCCCAATTGCCTCCATGTTTTTTGGTGTGAGAATTTTTCCTCCCTGGCATTAGGATGTAGGGGCTGAGGGTTGTAACCCTCCAATTTGTAGGGCTGTGGGCTGCAGGTAGAGAAAGCGGGGTCACAAACCGGAAAGCTGAGCGATCCTCTTGACACCCGGTATTGAACTTTTTCTCTACATTGTGCCCATGCCACAGGACAGCTATTTCACCTTAGTCGTAGTTTAGGTAACCTTTAGCCTTTTGGGATCCTATATTCCCATTATAACCGCAAAGTTTTTAACCTTTAGTTCTCCTAGGGTACTGGACAACCAGGTCACCAAAACGCACAGCGTTCCACACCCGCTGTCCCTACTGTGAGCCACGCCCCGTACATGGTTTACTCTCATCGTCGAAGTACAATCTCAGCGCCCGAGTTTCACGACGTTTTGCCCTTATAAACCCTAAGCCCTAAACCCGGTTCAGGCGACCTTGTGCCACATCCTGGGCATGAAGCAAAACCTGCCTCAAACATCCCAAGCCCGACAGCCAAGAGGCCTCAAAGTCACGCTTGGAGGTTCGTGGGTAGTTGGAAGTAGGGTTATAAGTGCCCTGAAATACGGTTATGGCCAGTTACAAGGGTGGTTACCCTACTCATCGCGCCACTTCTAACTTCCCATGGACCTCCAAGTAGCCCTAAATCCTAAACCCTGAACCCTAAACCCAAAACCCTAAACCCCACATTATGCCTACCCCTGACCCCCCAAGCAACCTCAGCCCACGCAAAGGTTTCGTATCCTGCGCGCCGACCGCTACGACAGTGTCGCCGAGGCACTGCGCTGCGAGGCGCCTCTTCTAATAATCCAAAGCCCGACTCGTACTTGGGAGGGTTTAGGGTTTAGGGTTTAGGGTTTCGGAGTGGGGATACAATATTAGTTGGGCCGTCTTGGAGGGCAATGGCTGTCGCCGAGTGCAGGGTAAGTTGTTTGCCCAGTTCCCGACTAGCCCTAAACCCCCCCAAACCCGAAAGCAACTGAACTGCACGACCTCGGGGAATTCTTGAACAAAACATGCCGCAGCGAACGTATGAGCACTGACTTGAGGAGAGCCGAACACAGCCCGCCTTTGCTACAGGGGGGAGTACTGGCTCTGCAATGTTGACGGTTTAGGGTCTATAGGTATAGTGTTTAGGATATTTCGTATACACTCCCCAAAGGTTCGTCTTGACTTTCCGTAGGAAGATGGACAAGTAAGTAGGGCAAATAGAGTTAACCCTAAGGGTCCATGTACCTAAATAGGGAAATTCCTGGGCCTCGCAGTATTTCACATATAGGAACCTTGGGGCCCAAGTGTACTAAGGTACTTGGACCCTTAGAGTTAAGGCCCGAACACCCGCAACTCGTGCGCAGGGCGTCGGCTGCGTGCTGCCCGGTGTGACCTCTGCGGATGCAGGCGATGCAGGTTTAGGGTTTAGGGTTTGGGGTTTAGGGTTTAGGGTTTAGGGTTGCCAACGGAAGGTTCAGGGATTGGAGTGAAGAGGCCTTTCTAACGGTTTAAGTAGGGTAGGTAGCCTTTTCACCTTTTTTGGCTGCTGCATTCCCTTTAGAGTCGTCTTTCAAACCCTCAAGAATTCAGGGCTTCAGGGCTTAGGGGGCTTAGGGTGAAGTCTTTGACTACAAAGCCTGCGCAGCACTTGAGATCCAGAGGATCTCGGATTTTGGGATGTAGCAGTGTGGAGGGCTACGCCCTAAACCCTAAACCCTAAACCCTAAACTCTAAACTCGATCAACCCTGACCCCGAAACCCTGAACCCTGCACTGATCATCCCACCCGCTTCCTTTTCAGGCCTGGCCGCCTTCGCGCAGCTTTACGGTCCCCAAGGCGCCTAAACCCTAAACCCTAAACCCTGAACCCTAAACCCTAAACCCTAAACCCTAAACCCTTCAGGGCTCGGGGCATCTTAGGTGGATCCAATTGGGGTATATGGGGGTTTGCGAAAACGGGGGGAGTGCCCTTTTTGGCGGGGTTCCTAGAACAAGGAGCAATAGTAGTTCGTGGTATATCAGGGGTACCTCCTCTATTTTTGGAAATGCCTATGGTCACTTCTCTAAAATATGGTCCCTTTTGGGGGTCCTTGTTATAAGGCGGCCCCTCTTATTGAGGGTGCCCCAAAAAGGGACCCCAACTTAGAGAACTGCCCATATCACATTCTCCCTATGTGGGTTTAAGAAAATCGGATTTGTAGAGGGCTTACGGGCTTGTACTTGCTGGTTCTTAGTACGTGCGGAACTCAAAGACTTTTGGTGCCCTGCGTCCGCCCTCAACCCTCAACCCTAAACCCTCAACCCTAAACCCTAAACCCTAAACATTGCCCTTCAAAGGATGACCAAGGGAATGAGACCATGGCTTCCGGATCGATCTGGACTTTCATGATTCAGGTTTTTTTGTTTCGAATTCTGCAAAGGGGTACTCGTGTTGGTGTATTTAGGGCACTGATAGCCCTAGGTGCAGCTGCCCGTGAACCTGCAGATCGTGTGTTTGTTTCAGTTTCGGGCTTACAGGGTTTGGGGTTTAGAGGGCGTTGGGGTCATTAGCCTTAAAGACCAAGCCCACAAATAAGTGTAATCTCAAAGCGGATTTGAGTAACCCTAAACCCTAAACCCTAAACCCCAAACAGAGAGCCTTACACCTCGCCAGGGCTTGGCGAGGGAGTCATCGCTTTTGAGCTGGAACTCGCGAAGAAGGAGGCGCCAAGACGTCAGCTATAATAGGGGGTCGGAACAATTACTAGTAGTACTCCCTTATGGTCCCTTTATCGTAGCATTCCCGTTTATGGTCCCTGTATAAATATTAATAGTATTTCCTTATGGTCCCTTTAAAAGTATACTATAACAACCCCCCCCCCCCCCGCCCCCCAAAGCCCTATTCTAATTCTGAAGGCCCCTACAAAAACACCTCTGGGCAACATCAGTTCCCAGCAAGTTTGTTGTAGTCATCCTTCTACGACACCCCAGAGTTGCGCCCTTTGGGGTTTAGGGTTTAGGGTTTAGGGTTTGGGGGCTACTTAGGTATACAGGGTTGTTTAAGGAATTTATAGGGGGTATATAGGGGAATAAGAGCCCTAAACCCCAAAACCCTAAACCCTAAAACCCTAAACCCTAAACCCTAAACCCTAAACCCTAAACCCTAAACTCCCGCGAGGCTCCGCAGAGGCCGACCTCCCCGCCGATCTTGCCCCAGCGAGCCGCGGCGTCTCGGCGGCCAAGGGCCATTTGTACTCGTAGGGTTTAGCGGTTTAGCACTAGGAACCCTAAACCCGAAACCCTAAACCCCTCAATTCGAAATCCTAAGCCCTAAACCCTTTAAAACCCTAAACCCGAAACCCTAAACCGCAAGACTTGTTCATACGCTTTTATACAGCTTCATCGACCGAAAACCCTGCAGATGCTCCGAACTCCGCAGCTTAGGCGCGCTCCGAGCAGTCCCTCTCGATCACTGCTAGGTGCGCTCGGGCTGCCGGATGGCCGGATGTAGGGTTCGGGGGTTGGGCTTGGGGTTTAGGGTTTAGGGTTTAGGGTTTAGGGTTTGGGGTTTAGGTGTAATTCGGGTTCAGGTACCCTAAGTAAGGCTACAAGTATAGTTATCGTACTTCTAACCCTACTTTTTACTACCCATGAACCTCCAAGTAGCCCTAAACCCTAAACCCTAAACCCTAAACCCTAAACCCTAAACCCTAAACCCTAAACCGTATACGCCTGGGGTTGGAGATTGGTTGCATGATGAAGATTTGGTACTTCGGGCCCTAGGGGTTGTGATCGCTCAGGGTTTTGGGTTCAGCTTGCAGTCCGCATCCTATAACCTCAAAACCCAAGTCCTAGGGTTTAGGGTTTAGGGTTTAGGGTTCAGGGTTTAGGGTTTAGGGTTTAGGGTTTAGGGTTTAGGGTGAGGGCTCAAGGTTTTAGACCTTTCTTTACCCTCTTGGGGCTTAGAGTTTCGAGGGTTTCGTCCCTTACTCTTGGAGTGAAGGGCTTCGGGTTCTGGGCTCCTAAATCCCTGGATCTCAACCCGCAGACCGCCCAGGACTCTCAGACCCGCAGACCGCAAAACGCCCTGAGATCCCCTATACGCACCTGAGCTTAAGAAGCCCTGAACTCCATTCACTTCTCCAACTTCCTGAACCCTTGGTTCATGGACTTCTCCTGCTGGGAAGGTGGCAGTATCCTTGCCCGGCCAAGGCCAGGTAAGTGGGTCGGCAAGGTACTTCGCAGGCTTGTTGTCCTAAGCCCCAAACCCCCCTAAATCCTACTTGCGACTTGCCTGCAGTCTGATGGTTTCTGCCCGTGAACGAAGAGGCAAACACTGCTGCCCCGCGGGTAGAGGCGTGCCATAGGTAGAGCTTTGGGGCCTCTATACAGGATTACTCTGGGCTTGTGAGCATGCACCCTAAACCCTAAACCCTGAACCCTCAACCCTTGTTACAAGCCATCAGGTTGCAAGACTTCAGAGCGTTATATAGGGCGAGATGACGCTGTAGCTCCGGCGCCTTGGGGCTTGGGGCTAGGGGTTAGGGTGTTCGTTGGTAGGGCCGTTGAGGGGTTTAGGGCTTGGAGCGGAAGCTACCGAAGTCCTAAGCCGGCCTTTCTTAATGGACTCTACGGAGTACCAACTCTCAACTATGGCTAGTGCTAGGAATCCTTTTGGAGCCCTCAATCCCCCAAGTCATTCCGGTTGAAGCCACTAAAGTTCCTGCAAAGCCCATCGAAGCCACAGATGCCCCGTTTCGAAGCCCTTCACCCCTAAACCGCTAGAGCCCTAAACCCCCCTAAAAAGCCTCAACCCTTAAACCCTACATAGCACTTAAACCCGCCTGAGCCCTGCAAGGCAACTTGGTTTTTTTTTCGGTTTCGTTTTGGGGTTGTAGGGTGTTAGAGGTTTAGGGTCCCTGGCCTCAGGGCTGTGGTGATCTTCTCCTGACGCCCCAGTGGGGGGCCTTCCCCGGCCGAGTGGACGAAAGCTGGTGCTGGGCCTACAGATCATCATCTCTGGCCTTGACTTTGGTGGGGGTTGGTTTACATATTTACATGATATATATATATATATTTCTATATATACATATGTATATGTATATATATATATATATATATCTCTCTCTCTCTCTTTCTCTTGGGGGGTCGGGGGTGATCCATCAAACCCTATAACCTTCCTCGTCGTCCATAGCGCAGAGGAACAAAAAGCATAGGATTCAGGGGTGATTGCTTGGGAAGGGATTAAGACTCGTAGCCCTAAGGTTGTACTCCGAAGAGGCCTCCCTGAATGCACGCCTACATGGCCCTTATACCTTAGGGATGCTTGAGAAGTCAGGTACAACCTTAGGGTCCAAGGTAGAATCCCAGGATCAGGGCCAGCACCAGCGTTGGGTCCACTTCAAGCTGGCAGTTCTCTGAATGATGGTTTTTCTTCTTGTGGACCCCCGAATGAGCCCATATTCCATCTTTTTAGGGTTTAGGTTCCATTACAAGCCTTTAAACCAAAAAGGGCACTATTTTCATTCCTAGGTCACTCTTGGTCGAGTTTCCGTGGTCCGAGGGGGGGCCCTCGGTAATTCTCAGCTCAGAGGTCCGGGGAACCTTGAACCCTACCAGGATGGGCGATTAGGCCTTAAAAGCCCCCATAATGAACCCTATAAGGGGCCTTTTAAGGGATGATAGGGTATAATGGCCCATCCTGGTATCCCCACACCTCAGCTGACGTTTCGCTTCTGCTTATGGCGCCTCTGCTTGGCTTTGTGACCAAAAACCCGAAGCCCCAAAACCCCCAAGCCTTGTATCCCTAAACCCTGAAGCCGAAACCCTTGAAAACCCAAAACCACTAAAACTCCGGACCCAAAATCCCCAATATGCCCAAGTCAACTCTTGGGATGTTCCCCGCTTATGCTAGCAGTCCGTAATGGGGATAGTAATAGGGGGTACTATAGTCCCTATTAAGGACTGTTCGTATAAGGGGGAACAACTCCAATAAGCCCGAAATTCTTGAGAACCCGCGGCTGAAGAGTTGCCCAGACTTGCCGCGGCCGCCAAGGGGCTCTGGCTGGCACCCAGAAACCCTAAACCCTAAAACCCTAGAACTCTAGAACTCTAGAACCTTATAACCCTAAAACCCTAAAACCCTAACAACCCTGAACCCCTCAATTTCTGATGTCTAAGGTTGGAACATGGGCCTTTAGTATGGTCCCTTCCTCTTTTCTTATACGTGTCCAAAGTATGGGCCATCACCGTATTGTTTATAGCTTGTACAAGGGTCTTATCAAGGGCGCCTAACTTAAGCCCAGACCCTCAACCCTCAACCCTCAACCCTCAACCCTCAACCCTAAACCCTAAACCCTAAACCCTAAACCGCACTTGGAACGATGCAAGCGGCCCTTCCTGACATCGACGCGGAGGTGGTCTGCCTGGGTGTCCCAAGCGAGTTTCCATCTCTGGGAGATCCTGAAGGTGTTGAGGACTCGACGCTCGGCTGTTTTCTGTTGCAGGAGCTTCTTAGTAAGTAGAGTATAGGTAACCTTTAAACCTTTTTGGGGTCCTCTTTTCCCTTTACAATCCCAAAAGGGTAACCTTCAGTTCCCGGCGTGTCGATTTCGGTTGTTTTTGTTTTTGGCTGGTATCTCACAATCCAAGTTCCCAACATGCAAGACAAAGGCTTTCGGAAAGCTCGGAGTCCCCGAGTGTGATACTTGAGAGGCACGCCGGCTTTCTGTCGCAGATGCGGTGCGTAAGACCTCACATCTTGCGAGGGGTTCCGCCCTCCGCGGTGCTGCGGCGCGCTCCCGGGGCGTGGATGCATGGAGAGCTTGAGCAGCTCTATGCTTTCAGCCAGGTCACAACCGAACTGACCGAGTTTTGGTCTCGGGGATGCGCAGTAATCATTACTCTTGTTCCCTTTTTGTTGCGTGAGCAAGCTAAACTAAATGGCCACCCTGATTTGTGCCCTTGGCGGCTGGGAAGCTAGGTCTCACAGCTGGCAGACGAAGCCTTGGCTAAAGTATGGCAGCATCCTCTTTCGGAGCAATGGGACGGCAGCATTCATACTTGGCACGCTGAGTGCTCTGCTTACATTCTCCTTGAAGGCAACTGGCGTCTTCACCGGTCAGGGCGTCATCATGCTGGTTGGGACTCTGGTCTACTATTTGACCCTGCTGTTCTGGCGGAGGAGGACGCTAGTTTTCCTGGACATTGCATGTGTCAACCAGGTGGACGAATACGCAAAATCTGAGGCCCTGGTCAGCATGGGCGCCTTCCTGAAGCACTCCAAGACCTTGGTGGTTCTTTGGGACGCGACCTTCGTGAAGAGAAGCTGGGCTTGCTGTTTTTTGGAACTTAAGGTGCCAGAAACAAGGAAGCCGTTTTTACTTCAGGTATACTCATATAGTAGCTTAACTGTAAGCTTCTGAACAACATCCCAGGATTGTGGTGTGTCTTTGAGATGGCTGGATTCCTACAAAGCCGAGGGCCTGATGCCAGCCGTGGCCTGGAGGTGTGTCCTGTTTTTGCTGGCCCGGCGCTCTTGAGCGGCACTTTCGGCCTTTGTGTGATGCTGCTTATCTTCAGCTCTTCACAAGCGGTGATTGTGCCATGGGAATTCTGGGGTGGATTAGCCCTCTGCGCTCTCACGTTTCCGTGTCTGACGTGCCTCGCATATGTAGTTTTGATACACTGTCGCAGCATCGACGTCGTGCAACAGCAAGTCCGCTGCTTCACTATCGGAAATGCTTCAAGCTATTGCTGCGCAAGCAATCATATTGACCCCTCAACTGGTGAACGAATGGTCTGCGACCGCCTGATCATTGAACGCTGCATCGCGGCGTGGTTTGGGTCCCCAGAGCAGTTTGAGGAGACGGTGCGCGGCAAGCTGCGTGTCTGTTAGGCAACTTCTTTTGCCTACTGCCGTCTGCCTAGACGTTGCCTAGTACGGGCCCCCTTTTCCCACAAGTGCTTTGAATCTTGAAGGGCTTCTTGCGGCAACTTGCCTGCGGCAACGTGTCGTAATTTCCAAGAGCACCCTAAACCCTAAGCCCTAAGCCCTAAACCCTAAACCCTAAACCCTAAACCCTAAACCGGAGGCTCTTGGCACATCTGGTCTATCAGCTGGCAAACTGCACATTTCCATACTGGCGCGTTGTGCAGGCGACCTCCCCGGCGCTGTGGTTCAAGCTTGAACTCTACAACCCCGAGTCTGGGCTTGATGCCGAAAGAGGTTTAGGGTTTCGGGTTTAGGTTTAGGGTTTAGGGTTTAGGGTTTAGGGTTTAGAGTTCAGGGCTCAAGTTAATATACCAGAATAAGGAAGACATCTTGTTTGCCAGCTACCCACATTGCAGTAGCCCAATCAGCAGCCCAGGCTTTTGTGGTCCTCTTCATACTTGAGACTATCGTGTATTGGCTGCTACTTCTTCCAAGCGTCGCCCTGGTGATGTTCCGCCTGATTTACTGCGCCCGGAATCTCTGCCAGAGCACGTTCACGCAGGTGCTACTCTCCACGGGCCTTGTTGCCGTCGCAGCACTTCTGTTTGGGGCCTTCTTTTTTGCGGAAACCATGCTGCTTCCTCAGCTTATAGGGGACAAGCACACGTCAAATTGGATCCTCCTGGCCACGATGTCCATGGTCACCATCGCCCTGTGGCGCTGCATGCCCCCGATTCACCAGTCCGATTCGCCCCAGGCCGCAGGCCAGGAAAGCCCTTAGTGTGCTATAGTCGGCATAGTGTACTACAGTAAGACATAGCTATCAGAGACTCCAACGGACTACATGGTAGATTGGAGTAGCCAAATCCAGTCCCCTGGTGGTAAGGATTCTGGAGCTTAGACAATTTCTACGGCTATAAACCCAGACCAGCAACAACTACGAACAGTCACAACCGTAGCTCGTATAGTAATCAAAATTTCGTAGAATTCCCCCTACACAAGAGGGCCCCCCACTTACAAGTAGTTAGCGTGAGTTGCATATGGACATAGTAGACTTACAAGTACTTAGCGTGAGTCCGACATAGGCAACTTAGCAAGTGGACTTGCAAGTTATGTATCTTTTTTTATGTTTATGCACCATGACATTTTCTGATTCTGGCAAAGAGCTGACTTTAGCCCCCAAAAAGCGCGAAAGAGTTTGGAGAGATTTAATAGCACATTTAGAAGGGTTTGTTGGTGTTAGATTTGAGTTTAAGTGCTCCTGCAAGTTCGCACAGTCCATTGTTGCACGAGACGGTGAGGCAAAAACAAACTTTTGGGGGCACAAGCTGGGCAACACAAAGCCCCAAAAGTTCAGAACATTCCCGGCACTCAGTTTAACCAAAGAGACAGAAGCACAAGGATGCCAGTCTGAGAGTCTTAGGCAAGCGAATTTCCCCGCTACAGGCATACCTTGGGATCCTTCCGCGTTCAGGTACGTGAAAGAAGTGCGCTTGCGGACACATGTGCGCCCACTATTGTTTTTCTAGCGGAAGCTGCGGATACCAGCGCGTCCACGCCTCAATCGCGCCATGATACGCGCGGATACACACGCGCCCACACCCTGTTTATCGGCATGTGCGGACACAAGCGGACACACGCGGACACACGCAGACACAAGCGGACACAGGCGGGATACACACGCGTCCACATGTCTTTGGTGGCATACAACAAAACTACATGTCGGCACGGATTGCTACAATTCAAAAAGCAAGGATGTGCTTGCAACTACTACAAAGCCTATCTTCATCCGCCCATAAAATGAATAAGTCTGTGTTCCATGCTATATACGCATTTCAAACATGGCAGCTGCCGAGACAAATATGTAGGGCGGTCCTTGCTCACGGTTGCTGTTTGTGCAAATTTCGCAAAACCAGTCCCAAAAAAAACCCTCCCCGCCCCAAAAAAAGGCAGGGCCCAAAAAGATAGTTTGGCTATGTCTGCTATCTTTTCCTATCTCTTTCCATATAAAACTCTGTATCTCCCTTATCCAGGCTTGTATTTTTAGGGCTTACTTAGCAGACATGTAACTGACCTTAAGGACGTTGTAACGGATTTGTAACTGGACTGGCGCACTCTTGTAAACCCTAAACCCTAAACCCTAAACCCTAAACCCGAGAGCTGGCAAGTTGAAGGCCCACAGGCTTCCGTCCACCGTTGCCCTCCAGCCACGGAGGCACTGTGCTTTGCAAATAGTTTGGCTTCTTTTGGAGGTTTAGGGTTTAGGGTGTAAGGTTTAGGGTTAAGGGTTTAGGGTTTAGGGTTTCCTGAGCTTCTACTCTAAACCTCAGAGGGCTTAGAAGGGATTCAGGGTCTTAGATTTGGTTCGGGTTTGAGGGGGGGCTATGTTCTTTCAGAGGTTTGCAGCCAACGTGATCCCTTCGCTGACGTGTCCTAGTTGTACTTCCTGCCTCCCATTTAGGGTTTAGGGTTTAGGGTTTAGGGTTTAGGGTTTAGTGTTTAGAACCAAAGGGTCAAAAAGTGGCCCTTGGTTCTAGATGGGGGTCCAAGAAGTCTAATAGGGAGTGCTTCTGAAGATCATGTGGGCGCGTATGGGTACTTCCCAAAATAGGGGGGTACCCCTTCTATACCCCAAATAGGGCAGAATTCCCTTAAAGTGACCCCCAAAAAGGGTACCAATCCCTAATACAGACCCCCAATGGTAGGATTCCCTTATAATGAGGACTCCAATAAGGTACCCCTAATTTCGGAAGCCCCCAAAGGGAGTGTGCCCCTCGTAACCCTCAAATGCAGATGCTGAGCCAGGACCCGTATTGCTTGTAAGAGCCTTGGGAGATGCTTGATTTCCCAGGTAGGTGCCAAGAACCAGGAGCCAATGATGTAGAGCCGGGTTTATGGTTTAGGGTTTAGGGTTTAGGGTTTAGGTTTAGGACTGCAGTCCTAGCTGAACAATGAATCTCCTCACGTGTTTGCACCGCCAGCTGCTGCCCAAGCCCAGGCAAGTGTGTCGCACAGCTTCTCCGAGGGCATGGGTGAGTGATCGCTGGTGAGCCACGCGCGTCGACACACCCTAAACCCTAAACCCTAAACCCCAAACCCCCCCAAACCCTAAACCCAAAACGCTAAACCCTAAACCGTCTTCTATCTGTGCCTCTTGCATGCCCTTTAGGGCAGCAGAACTCCCCAATCCCCAACACCTCAAAGAGTGCTCAAAAAGAGCCACTGAGCTGGTTGAGACGGGGATATCCATGACGCTCGAGTCGTAGAGAGCTTGTGCACCGGCACCCCAATTCGGTGCGAGGCAAGCTCTGCCGAAATTATCCTCACCCTACCAGGAGGGGCCCCCTAGTTATAAGTAGAGTTATAAGGACCCTAAATTGGGTTATAGGGATCCTCAATTAGGATATAAGTCCCTCAACTACAGTATAGTAAGAGGGCCCTCCTTGCACACTTCCAGGGGCCTAATAATTGAGTCCTAAAGGGCTCTAGGTCTAGGAACCTAGCTATTAGGTCCCTGGAAGTATAGGGTCACCGCACTTCGTTGGCTCAGACAATGCCAGTTGCGCTGTTTTCAAGGAAAAGTGCAGTACTGTGGTCCCTCGTGATCAGTCTCCCCTCTTGTCGAAGGTAGATCCAGTGCATGCCCCACAGCTTGAGGGTTATGGTAAGCACGCCTGAGTATGTCGAGTATGTAGGGTTTATATGCATACAGGGGTCAAGGCTTCAGAGAACCTTTGAGCTCCTGCGACTCTTCCCTGCCTGAACCTTCGACCCTGAGCAGCTGAACTGAACCCTAATCCCTCCCTGGGGATGTAGCTCCTGAGAGGGTTTCATGGGTAGCTATGGTTTTCACCATTATGCTTCTCCTACTTGTAGCCCCACTTACAACCACCCTAAGCCCTAAGCCCTAAGCCCTAAACCCTAAACCCTAAACCCTAAACCTGAACCCTAAACCCTAAACCCTAAACCTCCCAGGAGCCCTAAACCCTAAACCCAAGGTGCCTCGAGGCGGTGGCTTTCTGCGTCCTCGGGGAGCAGACGTGCACTTTGCCCTGCGATGAGGCCCTCGCGGATAAGATTCATGGTTTAGGGTTTAGGGTTTGGGGTTTAGGGTTTAGGATTTAGGGTTTAGGGTTTAGGGGGTCTTGACCTGGAGTATGGGTTTCGAACATGGGGCCAGGGTTTAGGGTTTAGGGGTTTAGGGGTTGGAGGTTTGCAGTTTGGGGACAAGGCCTAGAACTCGCTTGTTCCTGGCCCCTACTTGCCTGGAACGTTCTTGTTCCCGGACTACTTGCCTAATAACCCTTAACAATAACAGGTTCTTTCTTCCGTACACCCCGAGTTATGACATGTGCAACCCTGCTTACTACAGCTGCCAATTAACCTTTAGTCGTAGCATCTAGCGGCTTGTCACCTGTTACTTTCTAGGTTGTGATTTAGCAACGATTGCGAAAACCCAGCACAATTTGCCCTCGAAGCGAGGAGGCGAGGCTGGAACAGGAAAACTGCATAATTTAGGGTTTAGGGTTTAGGGTTCAGGGTACTACAGGTAGGTCCGAGCGGCTGACAGACGGCGGAAGTAGAAAGTTGCGACAGGCTTGAACCCGTTGAACCACAGCTCGAGCAGGCCTTGCGAACTTGTCGCCATGAGGCGCTTGAAGCAACGCAACCTTCTCTCTTGCGGCAGCTGTGTGACCCTAAAACCCCAAACTCGAAACTCGCTGCAAGAAAGGATGGGAATGTGAACCCTAAACCCTAAACCCTAAACCCAAGCCCTAAACCTTAAGACCCCAAGACCCTAAGACCCTAAGACCCTAAGACCCTAAGACCCTAAGACCCTAAGACCCAAAGACCCCCTAAGACCCTAAAACCCTACGAAGTAGTGACTGCCGAAGGGCCTCACGTTCATCCTGGACTTGGGCGAGTCGAAGCCTCGCTGGGGTCAGGCGAATGATGTCAGGGTTTAGGGTTTAGGGTTTAGGGTTTAGGGTTTAGGGTTTAGGGTTTAGGGTTTAGGGTTCAGGGTTCAGGGTTTAGGGTTTAGGGTTTAGGAGGGGGGAGGGGGGTCATGGCTACAAAAACCTGAGGATGAGGGTGATACAGGCGTACTGAATCACGAACAAGCGGCACGGTTCTATTGGAGACGGCTGCCGAAGAAGAGACTGGATAGTGATCATGAGATAGGGACAGGGGAATTGCTAATGGTGTGGGGAGTGGATCACATGGAAACAACATCGGGACGCACCCTTGCATGCCTTTTGGCCACGCGAGTCTGCAACTTGAACATATGCCATGTCCGTTGTGAGAGTGTACTTTTTGGCTGGCCTGCGTTCACCTCTACCTTCTGGGTGTTGCTTCTGCGTATCCTTAAGCCTTTAAATCCCTAAACCCCAAACCCTAAACCGTTAACCCTTCACCCTAAACCCTAAACCCGTTTTCGCCCTTTTAGCCCTCTGAACCTTGAAGTGTCCCGAATCCTAAACATCAAAATCGCTCGTCAGGTGAAAGTCTGCCTCACCGTCTGGGACGAGGTTGTGCTCCGTTCTGCGCGAAACGCTTTCTTCGGGTGCGCCTTCCAGCGGAGGGGTTTAGGGTTTATATAAGGATTTCAGATAGGGTTATATGTAGGGTTTTCATAGGCTCTATATATGTATATATATATATATATATTCGATTTAGGGTTTACATAGGGCTTGGGGAGTTTGGGCTCAACTCTACAGCACAGAGCTCAGCATTTTTGTAAGAACCTCGATAGACCCTAGACAGGGTTCCATTAGATGA